GTATTGGTAGTAAAGTGCTCAACAAATATCGAAGCTCCACTTCGACCAAAAAATGCAGAATCTTTGATATGCACTCGAACTTGGCTAATGGATATGAGTTTGAAGGTAACATGTTAACATAATATTCGTATATTTTATTATACTTTTTTAATATTTGTAGTTGATCATTGTTTTGTAGATAATGAGGTGAAAGATGATTCGGATGATGATCTTGATGTGCCATTGACTGTCTCGAGACCGTGGAATCAAGAGACTCTATCACGCCCACTGTGGAATGAACATTTGCTGTCTTAAGAATTTTTTTGTTGAATATTGGATTATGTATTTGTTTATTTTAATTGGTATTTATAGTTTATTGACTTATTTGGTTTGTTTAATGTAATTGTGTATTAGTGATTTTGTATTTGTTTGTTTTGGTTGGTATTTGTAGTTTTGTATTATATGTTATTGTTTGTTTATGTGTTATTGTTTTTTTTTGGTTCATATTTGTTTATATTCTTAATTGAATTGAATTTAGAGTAGTTATTTAGGGGGTGTAATGTAAAAAATTAAAACTGCAGTCATTTTTGGGGGTGTAATTGTCATAATTGAAAACTGTTAGGGGTGAAACTGTCAAAACCGAAAGCTGGAGAGAGAAAAAACGGTCCACCCGCGGGTCCACCCGTACCCGTATAGGGTAGGGCACGGGTCCAAAATATTGGACCCGTATAGATCTACCCGTTTTGGACCCGTACCCGTTTTACCCGTACCCGTTTTACCCGGCCCGTACCCGGCTCACCCACCCGTTTTGCCAGGTCTACCCATTAGTACTAGCAATTCCTCAGCTTATGGCATAATAATAGCAATACATAGCCCTACATGAAAATATGAATTGATTTCTCACAAACAAATCAACCCACCATGTTCATTTGATATAAACCAAAATCTCGATAACACAGGTTCAATTAGTTATAATAAAACTAAAGTGCACACAATAGCAATTCCTTAAAAATCAAAATAAAATTTATGCTATATCAGGAAAAAAAAGTGAAAGGCGCTCCTGTGCAAAACCACCTTCAGTTTCTTCAGATTGAGGAGTTTGCTAAGGTCCTTGTGTTCAAAGGAGGAAGAAGAAGATTTTGAACAGGGCAAGCAGAAGTGAAAATGAAATGCAAGGCCAAGGTAACTAATGAGTTCATACATTATTGTGTTAATAATTTTTTTTTTTTTTTTGGTTACCTCTCTGTGGTACAAATAGAAGTTTCCAGACTATGTTACCTGTACATCATAAACTAATTCCATACATTTTGCATGATTGACTCACATTTCACTAAATTTAAATTAAAGTTGGATATAAGTGTCCTCTTTCTGCCATGTTATACACTTGTATCCTTTCTAATTCCTTTTTTTTAATTAAAAAAAAAAAAAAAATTCTCTATTTTGCAATCACCCCCATTATTAATTATTTCTAATTGAATGCAAATGTTAGTCTCTTCATGCTAAGATCTGTTTCAACCAAAACTGACTAAATAATTTGCATTGATCACGATTCGACCAAATGAGCACACTCCTTCTCAAACTCTTTTCCCTAATCTTTAACAAAAAGTGAAACATAGAGAATTTTGAAAAACTATAAAACGTAATTCTGTTTATCCTAGACCGTCCTAATTTACACAGCAAAACCACACAATCTTCATGTAGCGCTCATGTTTAACACAAGTCTTATGAATAATGAGAAATTCATCCAGAGATTACCTTCTTACAGATTGGTGTTGAAGACCTAAATACTCTCTGATCTTTACTTTCAGATCACCAAAAAAGTTCAGTAAGGTGCATAGCCGATGAGTTGACTCCAAGTGAAGACAATGCACTTCTCCCCTTCTAAACTTTGCAAAAGACCAACCAAATACAAGGGCTTCAGCTTTGACTCGCAAATCTACAAAAAATAAAAATCTAGACACATGAACACAGAGGTGTAAGACCAAATACAAAAACAGGAGAATATATTAATCCTATTCATTATGATTGAATTGTTCTTGACAACATTTCAGAAGCTTGAAATGCCTTGTCCTTTGTTATATAGTCACAAAGCTTCATGCAACATCATATTCTGGATAGAAGAAATACTAATTACTATGGCCATTGTATCAATCAACATAAGAGCTAAACATATATCAAGGAAACCTAGGACATATTTTTAATCAGGTATTTGTTTACGAAAACTCAACTCCTAGTTGAACTCAAGAAGAGATATTGAACTTCTAGATCGTCCAAGTTTTTATACAAATTCTGAAGGTGAAGGGCAACAAAGATCATTTAAGAGATTAACAGGCTAGCACATAACTTTAAATAGAGACAGCATCGCAAATTTTTCAAATTTATTTAGACTATGAACCCTGCCATGAGCTTTCAAGTTTGGATCACACTTCAGAAGGAATATACATTTTCTAAGCTTCATTAGTGATAATGGTATAAACTGCTAAAATAAGAAATTAGTAAAAATTGTTAAACCAACAAGTTAATGGAATATCTGTCATATTTCATAATTCAATAATCATAGTTTTTGGACATGAATTCAAGCCCTGACTTCCTATACAAAAACAGAATCCAAAACTCAGATATTAGAAACAAATTATTATTTATTTATTTATTTATTTATTTTTTGGTAAACACGGTAATTGCCTCTCCCGCGACTCGAACACAAGACTCTTGGGTATAGCTAACCCCGGTGGCTAAAGGGCTTGCCATCCAGCCACGAGGGGAGAGGTAATTAGAAACAATTTTCCTCATAGACAGCCCATAATTTCAGCAGTAAAGTTATGATTTTTCATACCAGTTTGTACGATTCTAATTTATCTGGCAGCTTATAACAACTTTGCCCAGTTGTCAAAAATAAAGGGTGATGCAGATCAAGATGAGCAAGCTTTGCTTGGATCTTGCGTTAATGTAGCAGATAAAACCATCTCCACAAGCCTGGGGTAAGGCTTTTCCTTAAATCCCCTCTCAACACCACTGCAGTAAATATGGAACAATATCCGGACAAGTGTGAATATATCAAGCATTGTAATTTAAAAAATTCAACAAATACGGATTATCTATAAAATAAATTCAGTTTGTTTAATCTTCAAGATAAACTAATGCTTCAACACTATAAAGGAAGTAAACAAACATAGATCTTACCATCTTTTAATGGTTTTTAAGGAACCAAACGTAGAATGATTAAAAGTATTTCCACCACAAAAGTGGCTTTCATAATTAGAGCAAGTCAATTGAAGTACAGTTGGTAGCCAGGCTTGATAGGCCTCCCTAAGCATTCGATCTTTTTCATCAACAACCTAAATAGCATACATATTCAGCATTAGGAATTACTTAAATGAAGTATACTATGATAGTTCACTACAACCAAGCACATGTACAAATAATAATTTGATTCTCAAGATGATAAATGTAATCCTAAAATAAATCGTGATTCATAAATGTAAATCATACTTTATGTTGCTAGCCGATTAAGTGTTACGAGCATTGTTCAGAAACTAGCAAAGACATAGATGGACCAGATTTACGAACACATGCATCACAAATCATTATCAGGTGAAAGTTAGTTAACAAGATTAATAAGTGTTTATTATGTACTACTTATAAAGGCTAGAATCAACAACCAAGAGTAATCAATCTCTTCAACATTTAATAAGAATTAATTATGTACTACATATCAAGGCTAGAATCAACCAAGAGTAATCAATCTCTCCAACAGAAAATCTCTATTAAGTTTCAATTAGATAAAAAAAAAAAATATCAATATAAAAGTTGTAGATAGAAAAGATCAGCATCTTACAAGGTAACATAGATGCTCAAGTTTAAATCCTTTAGTTGTATTGATGTGGTCCATAAGTCTTCCTGGGGTGGTCACCAATATATCTACAGCACTTTGTAAGTCTAGGAAATGATCTTCTGGGACATAACAGATTCCTGCCTCAAGCTAAGGCCTCTTAACAAGATCTGAAATTTCATCAGCAATTGAAGATTTACCCACAGCCAAACCAACAGATAAACCAACCGCAGGTGCAATTGCACAAAAAACTTCTTTGACATGAATCAGAAATACAATAACAAACCCAAATGTAGTTTCAAAATAAGGATATGGCTCCAATGTCAGGCATGCATCAATACCAAATGTTAAACTTGTACAATGTCACAAGACAACAATACAAGTAGATATAAGTAAATCATAAAAGAGGAAAAAGTCCTCGTAACAATATGCATCCCAAGTGGAGAGTCTATAATACCATGGAGATACTACATTAGCAATACCACAAACCAATACATATATTACACCTAGTTTTTCAGCTCAATAATTACCAATCACATAAATTGTGAAGCCAGATGATTGAAAAAGAATTCATAGATGGAATAAATGCATTACCTTATTATGGTAGTCTAGATGTTTTTCTAATTGACAAGTACAACTAACATAAAACATTATTCATTCTCATTAAATGACTAAACTTCTTTTACCTATACTCTCCCATTCATTTAGTACAACAATAGAGTTTGAAATAGTATTATTCTATAAACTTGGGTAATATGACAATACAGATACAGCAATACTGTCCTGAGAAAAATTACCTGCAGGCTGAATCACGAGTAGGCAAAACCACTAAAGCACGTAGACATTTAACAGCACGATTCGATAACATTTACGCTATTAGCAAAGCATGAGCTAAAGTTTTACCACTTCCAATCGGTGAATTGATGCAGAGATCTCGTTCAAAACAACCAGGCCCTATGGTCTCTTGCCAAACTGCAAGTTGCACTATGAAGAGTGATGAGATACTCATCTTCTGCAAAGCCACCTTCAACCTAATTGAATACAAATCATGAATGCATACTCTAAAACGCTACAAAATTATAAAATTAACCAAAAAAATATATGTGGCTACCTTGGGTCCAGACAAGGTACGGCTTCAAGAGTTCGTTCTTCAAAGTTAGTGACGTCAAGTCGTCAACTGGCCTTCGCATCCATGGCAAAACTGCTCGCTTTTTATCTTCGCTACCTCCATTTTTATTCATCTTCGCTTTCAGCTAACACAGAGATTCTTCCTGGAATGTAATTTGCACCTCTCTCCACATAGTGGGAGGCAACTAAAAATTGTTAGGGTCTGTTTGAGTGTTTTTTTTTTTTTTTCATTATTTTTGATCAATTAAATAATCGGTTTTTAATTATATTGGTTTTAATTATTTTTGATCAATTAAATAATCGGTTTTTAATTATATTGGTTTTAAGGTGTTTTACAACTATTATTTTTCAGATTTTTTGATATATTGGTTTTGGTTGGTTCAAAATCTTTTAATGTATTTTTTAGGGGTTTATAAAACACTCTAAACCTGGATATTTTGGTTGATTTTAAAATTTTATTTCATAAATATCCTATTTATTATAAAACTATTCCAATTATATCCAAAAAAAATCTAACCATATTTTATGTGTCTCCAATCATATTAAATATAAAATAATTTTAAACAATCATACAAAAAATTATTAAAATTCATTTCTAGATGTTTTCTTAGAGAAATGGAGCTACAATTTTTTAATCATTTCAGATACTATAAAGAATGGCGAAGAAGGATAAAGAGACTTTATCACATTTGAAATTATAAAATATTAATAAGTAGAAAATAAATAAAGAATCCTTACCTTGCAATTGAAAAAACAAAACTCAGAAGTGCTAGTTGAAGTTGGGTATTTTTATGAGCATATATATATATATTATTTTAAAAAACTATGAGAACCGTTGAAAAATAAACTTCCAAGCATATGTTAGATGTTTTAAAAACCGCTACTAAAAATCCTTTAAAATCATTAAGATAGTTTACCCTTACAACTGTTACCATGAAACTCCTAACGGACCTTAGAATTTTAAGTCTGTTCCCAAGTATTTTTATTGTATACATATGTTGTTACCTTTCTTTGTCGAGTAATGTTATGCTTACTCACTATCTTACTAAACATTTTACTATCCTGAGTAATGTTATGTTTACTCACTATCTTACTAAACATCTTACTGTGTAATTATAACGCATAGTACGAGTACTATGCGTATAGTACCCGTACTATGCCATTATATTTATCAGGATATTAAGATAGTTAGTAAGATTGTGAGTAAGCGTAGTTTTATTGTTCTTTGTCCTTACTAGAGGCAGTGGTGGGCTCAGTGTTGGTGGAGTAGTCTTTGGTGGGTTGACTGGTGGTATTGGAGTGGATTTTAGTAGGTTCACTGGGGGAGGTGGAGCGGTCTTTGGTTGGCTCACTGGTGGAGGTGGTGTGGACTTGGGTGGGCTCACTGGTGGTGGTGGAGTTGCTTTGGGTGGGCTCACTCGTGGTGGTGGTGTAGCAATAGGTGTCTTCACTAGTGGTGGAGCTGGTGCCTGGAACTAAATTTGTCAATATAAAACTCATGTAGCAAACAACTTTGTTTACTCTTACATTGTAAAATTTATAATAAAAAAAGAGGTAAGCATGTTTACTTAGTTTAATCTACGTTAAAAAATGGACTTTAGATGATAACATAATGCTAAAGTCTTGATCTACATGAAATGGATCAGTAAGTGGGCTAAAAACCCAACTCATTTTCTGGATTTCTATGAAGCCCATTTCTATAATGTTAGGCCGAATTTCTGGCAAATATTGAACTCCGAGATGGTTTTATTTGTAGTTATGTGTTTTATTTTGGACTGGATCTTCATACATTAAAAGGAATTGAATACATATATTTATTAAATGGAGTTCTTGACTTCAAACATTATCTTAATTTCTTGAATTCAAACATTTGTATTCCATTAACCGATTGTATTATTCATATTGAATTAGTAATATTATCTTAATTTCTTTAATATAAGTTTGGATGAAACTTTTAGAGTTCTTCTTGGATACTTCTTCTCCTTTTCTTCTTCCTTATATCTTATAATTTAATACTAGATAGTGGATTTGTTAGTGTTCAGTGATTCAAACAATATAAGTTCATTGATGCATATATTATTCCTGTTTGTGCATGAAGAATTACCTCAATCTTTCTTAAAACTCTTCACATTTTGTAATTATAAAGCATAACATATTGAATTCAGATAATGAAAGAAAAATCATTCAAGCAATTCAATACATCAATCACAAAAGAAATGCATAAAATATTTTTGTGAGTCAATATAATACTATTTTTTCTCTGATGGCTTATATATTTTTGTGTGTAGATGATTAACGGCTTCTGATCTTCAAGTATCATTTGTAGTAACAATAGTGCTTTCCTGGTATAGATGTTTTTCAGTTGTCTATGTAGTAACATTCAGGCAAATTTGTTAGACAATTTCATTCTCATATTTCATATAAAGCTTCAAATTCTCTGTTTTTCTATCCCCTTTATACTTGATGCCAACTTATCTCTTTGGAAACATGGACCTCAATTTCTACTTCTCAGAAAAAAGCGAATGGTATCACAAATGGACCTCAAGTTCTACTTCTGAGAAACATGGACATCCAAGATAAAACTCTATTCATGGTTAAGTATCCTTGACTAATCTAACTCTCATTTTTTAAGTTGGGAATTCTATATTTTTTTCATTATAATTTTTGTTCTAGACTCAAGATGTAGTCATTCACATATTAATCATGGAGCAAGAGAAGCCTCGAATTTTGGGTTGAATACAAGATTGTACGTCAACTTGATTTGTGTAATTGCCATCTTAATAAGTTGATACAAGTTCTTGCTCTGTTTTTACATGAAGCTTTTTTGTTACATTTTTGCTTGTGTTTCTTGATTTCACGGTTGAGTGTTTTGGTGAATGTTGAATGGAGGATAATTAAAGAGAGGTGTCTCTAAGAGGATATAAGTCTTTAATGAAGAATAAAGATGGAAAACATTTGGTATCCCAATCATAAGGCCTTTTGTATCATATCATATCCATATTGTTACATCTCATTTCTGTTTCAAGCTTTATTGGACACATAGTCTTTCAATCTAAAGCTTCGAATTCCCTCTTCTTTGTCCTTTTATTACGTACTCAAAATGGTATTTTAAGGTGGAGTAAGCAAGTGCTTTTGCTCAGTTAATATAATTGCAAATAATCCATCAACAGAAATTAACAAACTGCATATCGTATCTTCTTGTTTGCCAAAAATGTTTGGCAACTTGGAGAAATTGGAATACATAATACAAATCCAATAAAGAATAAACAACAGGACAAATGCATAAACAGAGGGTGCTCCACCTTCAACCAAATGTGAAGATGATATCAGTTAAGATGGCAGAAATAAAGTCTCTCTTCACCTGGGGGAAATGGAATCGTGGCATATCACAAACTACTTGAAGAAATGACCTCAATCTTCTTTGGAGCTCTGCGCATTCTGTAATCATAAGGCATAGCTCATTGAATTAAGAAAATAAAAGGAAATATGAAGTCAACCAATTCAATTCATTAAACAATAAAAATGTATGAGGTATTCTGGTGAGTCAATACATACCGTATTGTTTTTGAACAAATGTTGTATAGTGGAATTAAGGCTGCCCTCCCAACATTCTTCAACTTCATTCTCTCCTTCTGTCAATCGTAGTTCTTGTAGCTTTGGTGTGCTTAAAGCTTCATGACAAAAAGTCTCCATCTTCAAGCATTGTTTGACAATTACTTTTTTCAAGGATGGGAATTCAAGAGTATAATCCCCACAACAAAAGCTTTTAAGGCTGGACAAACAGTGAAGTTCCAAACAATCCAGTCTGTTGAAAACAATTGGATCCTGCAGTACTTCATCTCCCAAATGTGTTATAATTTCCTCCATCATTTTGCAATCAGATACGTTTATTCTTGTAAGTTGATCCAGAGTTTTAGCTTTTAAGGGGGTCAGTAAGTATCTCAGTCCATCACACTTTGAAACTTGCAAAGTCTCCAAATTCTGGAAAGACACTGTTGATGACCATGAATTTTCTAAAATGCCACATCCAGATACTTTCAAAGTCTTCAGATTTTTAAAGGCATTGCTGGGCTGAGAATCTCCTATCCATAGATGCAGCAACCTGGACATTTCACTTAACTCTAGCTCTTTCAAGCAAGGGAATGCATCCTGGGAAAGCAGTCAATCACAAAGGGGAAATTGTTGAAACCAAAAAAAAAAAAAAAAAAAAAAAAAAAAAAAAAAAAAAAAAAAAAAAAAAAAAAAAAAAGAGCTGATTAGTATAGGCGGGTAGCACTAAATTGGTGAGATTAGAGACATAGGGGACTTATTTACCGATAATGATACGTGATAGAGTTTTACAGTAGAAAAATTATTCAATTATGAATAATACTACATATTTCAAGTAAAATTCACGCATAGCTAATAATAAATATGTTTGACATAATCTTTTAAGAGATTAAATAAAATAAATAAAAAGAGAGGCGAAATTAGAAAATTGTAGGAGCCTTTACATGAGTTATAGACAGATTATTTGAGTATTGGGGCTCATACCTGTAAACCAAGAACAGTGGTTGTTGACTTTCTCCATCAGTCCCTTGGATGCTCAAAAATTCTGAAGCAAATATCTCCACATTATCACATCCATATACCTCATCACTTCTAAACTGGCCATTCAGAAATATGTACTTTGGGTATAAACTTTTGAGACTCGGTAGCATTTGAGAGACACAGGCAAACTTAGAGAAGACAAACCTAGGTACTGTTTCCTCGTCAACAGTTTCCTCACCTCACTAGCCTTTTCTCAAGCACTTCAATATCTCTTCAAGAATCACAATTTTGTACTTCCAACGTCTTAGTTCTGGTGTCCCAAGCAGTTTGATGGAAAAACATTACAAGTCTTTTTACAAAGACTAAAAACACACGATTTAATTTGCAGAAGGAATCCAAAGAGACTGATCGTCCCAAATCTTTACCAATTCATTAGCATGACTGATTGACAATCTCTCCAAACTGGGAATCTTACCTGAAGAATTATTTACAATTACGACATAAACCATCCTTATTGTGAATCATAAACATAAAATTAGTAGGTATAAAATGAGAAAATAGATTAACTGAATCGAGAAAATGGATTAAAAACATATTACCTTTTTATCAAAAAGAGATTGCATGCAAGTATATCTTTGCACTCATTTCTTCATTTTCTTTGCTGATGATGTCATTCCACCACGTATAGGCTTGGAGATGAATGTTTGAACACCAGGGCAATTTTAATCCACAGTCTGAATAAGGATGACAATTTCAATAATATTTGCAGCGGAGCTGCAAAATGTTGTGAGCTTTGGAAGATTATAAGCCTCAAATCGTATAATTTAGGAAACAACACCTACTTGATCTCTCTTCATCTTCATCTATTACTCTTTCCATGAACTACAGTTAGATATCTCAAGCTTCTTCAGTTTGAAAAGACTTTTGACCATTGAAAATGGAAAAATATTTTAAATGATCAAAGCCATCGATGACCAAGTTTGTTAATTTGGAAGCAAGAAGGTGCTTCAAGCTGGGTAACACAACCTGCATGCATATAAAAGTTTTTTTTTCAGAAACAAAAACTTTATTTTGTTTCTAAAATATGTGAATTTCTTTATTAAAACTTATCATCGTGGAAAAAGAATTGAAGCAGACTTACCTTTACGGTGAAAAGAGATGCAAGATGGATGCTAAACTCCTCATATGTATCTTTTGACAGTCCTTACGTAATAGTTTCCAGGGAGGACATTCCAAAATTTCACTTCCCGAATAGAAGCTTGTCAAGTTAGCAATGACTCAAGCACAACAGAGTTTAATTGAGGGATTACGATTTATCACTCACTGCATCCTTTTGCGGTTCCTTTTTGATGATCACTTCTATCAAAACACAGTTTTTCACTTCTATCTTCTGAAGTTGAACAAGACCCAACAACATAGACGGTGTAAATATATATCTCAAGTTGTTGCAATTGTCAATTTCAAGATTTCAATTTCTTTAAGCCCAGAATTTCTTGACGACTTTCGTCAAATCAAACACTTGTTCTAGTGACTCACAACTTCTTACATCCAACATTTCCAGATTTTTGAAGCCGCATAACACATTGGATGGAATAGCACTTGACATATCTGAAAAGTTATCCACTTCTAATGACTTTAAATTCCAGAATAAGTCGATTGGTGCCTGACCATTCCATAATTTTTCTTTCAAGTTGGGGAATTGAGAGAGTGTCAAATGTTCAAAGCTACAGAAACCAACCTGTGAAACCCAAAATATTGGATTAAAATATTGAATTTTGAAAGACTAAAACATAGAAAAGTATTTGAAGCTTAACAAAATGAATATTTATATATGAATGTCAATGAAATTTTAATATTGGATGTGCTAACTCATTATAACAAATTTCATGCTGTTGTAACAAAACACTACATCCTTGTTCTATTATTATAAAACATAAGTAGTCACATTAATAAGAATCAAAAGTAATCTTTCAGTAAAAAGATTAAAAATAATAATAATTATAATACATAAATGTAACAACATTTTGTACTTCTTTATAATTTTAATAAGTGCCCCTCTGTGATAAGACCACCTGAAAGTTGGACATAAAAAGCTATGGAACGATTGGAAATCTTATGCTTCTACTTATTAGACATGAACCAAAGAAAATAGCCACTAAATAGTTGTGAATATATAATAACAACAAATGAAAAAAAAAAAAAAAAAAGGTACAGAATTATAAATCATACTATACTATTCTTTTTTCATGCAATTTTGCACAACAAATATCATTCAGTTTTGTCTTTGTAATCTACTTTGAAACTGTGTAAGAAAAAAAAATGTACACGGTCCAAGTTGCAAGTAGTTCTCATAAAAATTTAACCAAGGCATAATGACCCTTATAGAGCAGATTGAGAAAAACTAGATCCTGAATCAAAATACAAAATAATTGTTCAAAAACAACTTAATGAAAATTTTGAACAAGTATCAATGTACGCTTTTCAAACTTGGTTAGCATGTAATTGATTTGTATATGCCATCAGCAGATTGAGATTTGTGGAATCCTAGAATTATAAATTTTTAATTGAAATAGGAGTTTGACAAATTTTCATCCTTGTCTTTAAAAGTTAATAGCTCTTGTAGTCATGGTTTTGGCCCTGTTGCATCAATCTCTATCATTAATTCAAAATTATAATATAAACAATATCATAAATAGTATTACAAATCATCATATATATTAGTAGTAATATCTGTAAAAAAATATATATATAGATATCAATAGCAATGTTGTAAAAGGAAAGAAAATGATTTTGTTAAAGAATAAATACCATATCTGTAAACATCTGCTTGATAGTGGAGTTGAGGTCCTCCTTCCAAAAATATGCTGGGTCATCCTCTCTCGACAATTGAACTCTCTTTAGCAAAGGTGTGCTTAAGACTCCCTGAGAGAAGATCTTTAATTTTGGGCATTGACTCACAATAACTTGCTCCAAACAAGGGAACTTGAAGGAATAATTGGTTGAGCAGAAGAATGTGAGGCATGATAAACGGTAAAGCTCCAAAACTTTCAATTGGCCAAAAACAATCGCTTCTTCTCTGTCTCCCTCGTTTGCTATTACCTCTGTCACTAACTTGCAGTCTCTTATTTTCATTGTTGTGAGATTGACAAGAGTCTTGGCTGCTGAGCATGCAAGTACGTTGACTAGTCCATCGCAGCTCCAACTGTCCAGAGTTGTAAGATTTTTGAAAGCCATTGCGATTGGCATCAAAATTGTCAAACAATGGCATCTATCTACTTGTAGAGTTTGAAGATTTTGAAGAAATGTGTCCCCTCGTAAATCTTGTTTCCATGTATGTCCTTGTTCATAGGGGAATAGCTCTTTGAAACTATTACCACAAAACGAAAGTGATTCCAAACAATTTAACCTTTGAAGGAAACCAGACAGAGAAGCAACAGATTCATCATCAAAGTTACCCAGGTAAAGTTTTTTAAGTTTGCCAAAGCTCTCAGCTAGATCACAGTGGAGGAATGTCAATTTGAAGTCATGTGCATCTAAACCCAACACTTCCAAATTTGGTATGACCTGAGAATTAGGTGTTAGCATTCACTCATCAACAAGTTCACCGATATACACAGAAAAATGCTACGATTTTTTCATATATATGGTACAGGTGTCACAAGTTATATACTTAAGAAGCAATCAGTATCATTATTGAGAATGCAAGCTGCACTCAAACAACAAATAAATGCTGGATTCTGGACTGCTAATGAACTAAAACTGCAGAAGTTTGTTATGTTTCCCGCCCAAAATCAAGTTGCAAGTCAAGTGGCATAAGGTAGTTAGGCAAGTTGATCAAGTTGTTGAAGGTTGTTATGCAAGTTGGTCAACTTGCTGAACAATTTGATTTACTTCCCCGCAAAATCAACGGCAGTAAAGGATTATTTGTTTTTTTGTTACAGCTCAATGATTGAGATATTCTTCCATTTTTTGTTCACTCATTTACAATATAAAAGAACGTCCCCTGTACTTGAAAACAATCAATGAAAAATAGTTACCATTTCTGCCTTGGTTTCCTCTTTTTTAAATTCTTAGATCACCAAACCTTCACTCTAAATTGCCTTTACACTCATTAATTAGTAGTACAACTAATTATAAGCAAGTAGAAACATATATAACCAGATCTTTAATTTGGAAATAATGTAAATGGAAATGTACAAGGCAAAAGGTCTTATCTACTTTTATGAGCCAAATTTTAATGCAGGAAACAAGAATTTGGTTTATGATGTGTGCCGTTGATATTACCAACAAAATTTCTTCAAATGATTATGTTATTTATATATTTTAAATAAATAAATATGTTACAACGTTAGTATACACTTTAAACAGGAATTACATAAATGAACAACAATTTTTAATCAGCAAAATGAATAATATCTCACAGCTGAAACATTCAGTTGATTATTATGCATCAACTCGATGGATTTAAAGAGAAAAAAGAATTTATTGTAACTAAGCAAAAGGAAAGAGCTTCTTAGTTTATTTTAATTTGCAACAGGAACATTAATGTCCTTATGAATTGGAAACTGAAATTGAGTGACGCTTTGTTTAAATCTTAATTTTCATTTGGGGTACTATATCATACCAAAAAGTGTGAAACCAAATAAAAGTATTTATGTTATACTATGTAAAATGGAAAATTGGCCATCCCACAATATTGGTGCACATATATAATCAGAATAAGCAATGATCAGATTAATTTGAACAATCATAAACATGTTAAATTTTTTAGTATGGATGAAACTTAAATCATAATACCTTTTCTAACTGAAAAATGGCAGGTTGGCTTTCCCCATCATCTTTCCTTTGGAAGCTAGGAAATTCTGAAGCATATATTTTTATCTTCTTGCAACGATACACACTCAAACTATTTAGCATTGGCCACTCCGTTGTATGCGACCCCAAGTAGAAACATTTGAGTTTCGGTAAATTAGCAAGATAGAAGAATGTTAATTGTGGAAACAAAAAATTAGGGGCCCCCTTAACTTCCTCCTCAGAAACAATTTCCTCCAACCCACAGGAGATTAAGCGAAGGTCATTAAGTTGTACAAGACCAGTAGCTATAGTAACTGGAAAGAGACTTTTCATACTCCAACAGCTTTTAACAATTAACTCTTTCAGATTGTGAAAAGTGAGAAGTCTGTGAGAATTAGATGGAACAATAGTCTTTAACTTTTCACAGAATTCGACTCTCACTTCTTTTAGTTTGCAAAATGATTCCACATGGAGTTGTTGGTTGTGCCATATCAATTGCAAGTTATTCAAGTGTAAGAGTACCATCACCTCCAAGCTTGGAAAAGCAACCTATAGCAAAAAATCCATGATGTCAATATTTTTGTATAAAAGACCCACAATCTTACGATAAGAAAGATGTCCAAATAGTGTGTAAGGTTGATCTACTCTCAAAAAAAAAAAAAAAAACGTTTTGAAGGAAATAGGCAACATAATTTTTTAATATAAAGATAAATCACCTTTTCATCAAAAAGAGGGTTTATATCAATAAAGTAGTTCTCCAAGTTTAGTTCTTCTTCAGGTTCTTCTCTCACCGTGCCTTGATAAAAAGATTTGCAGTAGAATGTCTTCAAATTAGAGCAACCATCAATATGAAGTTCATTTAAAGATGGGAATTCGATTGAATTCCCGGTGCCAAAAGTCACAAGTTTTGGCAAAACTTCAAGCTTTAGGTAGAATAGTTTAGGAAAGCTCATATCAATTATCCTTTCTTCTCCTTCTTTCTCTTTTGAGTCGATTATTACTTCCATTGACTTACAATTGCCTATCACAAGTATATGGAGTTGGTTAAGACTTTTGACCATAGAGGCTGAAAACAAAAATTTCAAGCCATTACACTCCTCCACGGTTAAGCTTTTTAAGCATTGACTATAAGAAGACATTGCCAAAGGTTGATCAAGCCATGTATTCTCAATATTAATTGAGCACAATTTCAAGTTCTCCAATCTTGGAAAGACAACCTGTGAAAATAAACCTTGTTCGTAAACATAACTTATAGACTAATAAGAAAACTGCTTTTTACATCAAAATAAAATAAAAGATGAAAAATACAAAACATACCCTCATGTCAGAACCAATCTTTATGAACTGTGGTAGACGTTGTAGTGTTAGAGAACACAATTGATTGAAGTCAATCTTATCATTTGTTTCAATTTCATCACCATGGTCTGTACTTTCTTCACCAAAAATCTCTTTTAGGTTCTTACAATCAGTCACTTCAATTTCTTGTAGCTGAGTAAAGTTTTTTGCCACGGAAGATGCAAAGAGATACTCCAATCTATCACATTTTTCTATTTTCATTATCCTTAATTTGCTGAACGACCCTGCATTGAGTTGGCCACGGCATATCTTCTCCAAATTAATCAAATTACGAAGGATGAAGGACTCCAATTTGGGAAAGGCTAGATTCCAAGCAACTGACTTAATGATACATAAAAGCTCCAGACAATCTTTTACAAGCAGATGCTTCAAATGTGGAAAACCATCCATATCGAATTCATAAAGAACATTTCTAACACCATTCATTTCCTCTAGAGAAAGATCTTCAGTCATCTTCAACAAAGCTTTAATCCCAAGCCCCAAACAAGTACTATTGTTGATCTTGAGTTTGAGCATTCTTGAAGTTGAAAGGTCATATTTATGGGACCACTTCCATTTATCTCCTATAAATATCTTATAACTTTTCAACTTCTTAAAGAACAAGTCTCGTGGCATAACTCCAGCATCCTGAATATGAAGATGTAAAGCTGTTAGGTTAGACAACCGCTTTAACTCTCCAAGACTAGCATTTCTTCGTCCTTGATTATCGACTCCTTCAACCTCCCATTGAACAAAGCTATTGCCCATATATAGCTCTTCTAATTGAGACAAGCAGGAGATGACATTTGGGGCAATGTATCTAAGGTTTAAACAATTGCTCAAATCTAACAACTTCAGCCGAGTCAATTGTCTGATTTCTCCAGGCAACTGTTCAATATCAGATCCCTCAAAGCTAAGGACCTCTAATGTCGTTAGGTTTCCGACTATTGCTACATCTCCTAGCAGGCAATCGTAGAAACACAACGTTCGTATGTTCTTTAGGCAATAAAGGGATGAAGGTAATGAAAACAATTGTATTCCGGTCAAATCTATAACTTTCAGTTCACTTGTTCCTTCAAAAAAAGCATCTGGGATTTGTAGATTTTTGTTTTTCACAAATAGGAAAAACAACTTGAGTTTCGGACATTCCAACTTTTCAGGAAGCTCATCATAAATATCTCTATACGGCAAAGATATAGCGTTTGAATCTTTTTTCTCCTCCAATACTTCCTTCAAGCTAGTGACATTTTGAATATTAAACATGAGCTTATCTTTTGATGCAATCGATACAGCAACAGCATGAATAATGTCATGCATTTTAACTCTGTTGTCATCTTCATCGTCGTCCAACAATAAACAGCGAGCTTTCAGATGATCTATCAACCTATGCAATCTATTCCTTCCTTCTTCTAATGTATAACCATCTCCAAACAAACTCCAACCCATACTGTATTTCAATAAGTCAGCAATGTACATTCTACTGCCTGCATTTTGTAGAGCACAAAGAAGAAACAGTGTTTCTGCTTCCTCATTTTTCAAAAAATTGTAACTCAGTTCTATAGTAGAGAACAAAGTTTCATCCATATCTAGAAGGCATCTTGGATTAGACCTTTTTAGTTGAGCCAAGGTATCTTCCCAAGCGTTAAGACTCTCATTTTTCAATGCATGTGCAATTGTTGAAATAGCAACCGGTAAACCTGCACATTTGGCAACTATCTGAATTGCTACATAATGAAAATCAGGGTTTTCTGCCAAATCACCCACAATCTTCCCAAACAAATTCCATGAGTCTCCATCAGATAAAGGATAAACAGGGATATTCTTCTGAATCTTCATATCTTTTTTTAATACATCCAGATTTCTGGAAGTTAGCAATACCATGCATCGCCTCACCTTGTCATCTTTTCCTTGTTTCTCAGCTCCCCCGAAAGGAATTCCAATTGCATCAAAGTCAAGCTTAGTCCAAATATCATCGAATATTACAAGTACATTCTTCTCCTTCTTTATCTTGTTACGTAGTAGACCAACTCTCTCATATTCATTCTCCTGTCCAAATTCCAGGCCTAAATCAAAAGCAATTTTTTCTTGAATTTTTTTGTAGTCTGGGTTTTGTGTCACCTCAGCGATGACCACCTCATCAAATAACTTGTTTTCCTTGGCCTGCCAAGCTACTTTTCTGACTAGTGTGGTTTTGCCCACACCTCCCATCCCATACACCCCAATCATGTTAACATTAGCATCTTTCAATGTGTCCATAATTTCCTGCAAAACTTGCATTCTAGAATCAAAGGCCTCGAAGCCTCTAACATACATGGATTTTGTCCTCTGTAAAGCGGGACGGTAAGAAACACTATTGAAGTCCCCCTTTCCGCAGAGATCGGTGCCATCCATTTTGGCCTTCATTGCTTTTTTGCCAAGCCTGTAACGTTGAATCAAATTAGGACATGACCCCAATTTGAAACAGCCGCCCTTGTAAGCTTTATCTTCATCCTCAATGATGGATTTTGCTACCCCTTCAGTGAACTCATCCACGTCAATCAGCCATTTTGTAACAACTTCATAAATATCTTCCCCCCGTCTTTCAGCAGACTATACAGGTCTCTGCACCATTTCTTTTTTATCTCTGATCTCCTGAACTTGATTCTTGAGGCCGTTGATGTAGTTCTGGTACTTGAGCACATAAGAGATCTGCTGTTTAAGCAAACCATATATATCTAATGTAGCCTCTTCCACAACTTTAGAGGCACCAGCCAGAGCTAATTCTTGAGCCATTGCCTATTTCTTGTGAGATGTTTATGAACACTGGATATAAAGAAAAAAGTGAGAAACGGTTGATAGGAAACAAAGAAAAAGAAACAGAGTTACTAAACAAAATACTTACAAGGAAAGTTGGGTAAACAGAATCTAGCTTTAAGCAAACAGATCTCTGCTAGACAAGTGCACCTCGATCTATATTTCTCTTAGAGCTGTTCAAGGACCAGTAGTTGTGTGTTTGATTATCTTTTCTGCGAGTAAGAATCAAACAGACATGTAGTTATTAATCCCATACATCTATTAATATATATATTTTTCTATTAATTTCAAGCTGAAAATAATTTATAACCATTCCATGTCCTCTATGATAATGTTTTTGGTATTGTTGTATTGGAAATTATATGCAGTATTAGAAATATGATATCTCTGATGGCCATGATTTATGAATATTATGTGCAGATAAGAAATTAATATTAAGTGGGATAGATAAGTATGCAACAGTTGAATTGAGTAATTCTATATCTTACTTCTATCTATCTTAAAGCCTTATTTAGCTAATGAATGAGGCAGCAAACAATAATTTTGGTACACCCACTAACTACTGCTAATCATCTTAAAGGAAGCGACATATTTATGAATACTGGATATAAAGATAAAAGTGAGTAAAATAAACAGAGTTAATAAGCAAAATACTTACAAGGAAAGCTCCGTAAACAGGATCTTAGCTTGAACCAAACAGATCTCTGCTGTCAGTATCAGAAAAGTTGAGAACAATGCTGGATTCTATCTCTTTTTTTTTTTTTTTTTCAAGTAAATTTATGGATACTGAATATAAGTAAATGTAAATAAAGTACAGAGAATTGAAAGTGAAAACAGGAGTAAAGAAAAAACGCAGGAGAAGGATAAGAGTAAAACAAGTGCAGCTTAATGGCTTAATCTGAGAGTAAGAGCAAAGTATTCAAGGAGCAGATTGAGTGTTTGTTTCTCTTCTTTGTGAGCAAGAATAAGCAACAAAGATTAATAAAGTCTTTGTTTAATTTAAGAAACAACTCTATATTCATACAAAAAGGTCTCGTAGGAATGGATTTTGGAGAAATGATGTTTACCGAGGATTCAACGGTCAACTAACAAATATTTGTATAATTTAACACAATTTGAACTATATAAAATTATAATACAGGTAAGGAGGTAAGCATGTATAATTTATATGAATAGAGAATGACCACTATAATAATACCTGTAGAACAGTGGACCAGTCAAATTAAACTTTACTTTGAGCAAATAAAATCACTTGTAAAATTATGAGAAATAATATATAATATTGAATTTGAAACAATCTTAGAGAGTAATAGAAACCAAACAGTAAACAATCACACCCAAATAATGTAAACAGTAAAGAGAAAGTACATATGCGATTTACTCTTGTTCAACTAAAAAAAATTACGTTTAGTAAAGTCAATATTAATAATTGAAATATCTCGTCATCTCTCCTGTTACAATAAATGTATTTACATATGATTTGTTATATCACTCATACAAGAGAATAATAAATTTATATCCTAGTTTAATGAAAAAAATCATGTGACGGCAACCGACAAATGCCTTGGTGCAAGAAATGAACTTGGAGAAAGTGCAATTACCTAACCTAACGCGTGAATAATAGTGAGCTGATCTGTATAATGCATAAACAAATTGAATTATCATAATATAAGATACCAAACAAGCGTAGATTAAGGATCTAACACATAAAGATCAAACACTACCAACCTTTAGTTATTTTCTCATTTTAGTGATTTCAAAGACAGTCAAATCTTTTAATCTAAAGCTTCAAATTCCTCTTCTTCATCCTTTTAAGGTGGAGTTTTATGAGTTACAAATACACATCCTAATATAAATGCTTCCTAATATGTTCATTTTGTTGAGTTACACTTCTATATATTCTTTTAAATTCTTTAAGTCAGATACGGTATGTCTCTATGTACTATGCTGATAAAAAATTTTAAAAATTGCTTCAGAGTCATTCTTCGCAAATCAATTTGAGGGTTATTATTATAAAAGCACAAACTCTACTCTCTCCACCAATAAGCTCTCAACAGCTATCATCTCTCAAATTGAAAATTCTGAAATGCGGAAAATTTTTATTTTAAAATGGGAATCTACAACAAGTGTTTGGGCCTTGGCTAACAGAGAGTGAGAGAGAGAGTTGATTGGATTCAAAGGGGGTTAGGGTTATTAGTTAATCAGGTGTGATTCTTCCTTGTTATTGGATTTAGAGATTAATATGATTTGTAAATCTAAATACTACCTTGCCTTGGAGAGTGGATGTAGGTCTTGAGTGCTGAACCACTATAGTTGATTGTCTCTTTTATTTTTCTTGTTTTTCTCTTTATCTTGATGCCTATTGATTGTTTTCTGGTTGATTGTTTCTTAATCTTGTTGGGATTGTTCTTCTGAGAGCATAATTTTATTATTTTTGATCCAAGAAACTCTAACAGAGAGTAATAGTATTAGTAGATTGATAAAGTCTTTCTTTAATTAATTATTTAAGAAACAACACTATATTCATAAAAAATATATATATAAAGACAAAAATGCCTCGTCGGAATGGATTTTGGAGGCTTCAAGGGTCAAGTAACAAATAATTGTTTAATAAGGGGCTCAACTTTATAGGTAATGCAGGATTAAATTATTACAATTTGAAGAATATAAAATTATAATACAGGTAAGCATGTTTAAATATGTATTACAGGTAAGCATCAATAATTTGTATGACTAAAGAATGACCACTATAAACCATTCTTTAATAATACCAGTAGAACAATTGACAGGGGAATGGAAATAGAGGAGCTCTGTTTTGATAGATAAAAATGGTTGTAGGAAATAGGCTTTGCTTAATAATAGCACTATAAATTGTCCATGAGAAGACCATAACTTTGTCACGTGAAGGCAACCAACAAATGCGCTGGTGTAATAAGAAAGCAAGAAATGAACTTCGAAAACGTGTAATTCCCTAAGGCATCAATAATAGTGAGAGGACCTGTACCCTAAAGCATAAAAAAATTGAACTAAACTTTGATTATTATAATACCAATGTTCTTCACACCAAGCAAGCGTACATTAAGGATCTAACCATTGCCCCTTCTATGATTAATCACTTGGATCTCGATTTAGAGTTATCTGTAAAGGGATATGGTTGCCTCCAGGAAATGACAAAATAGTTTTGAGAGAGAGAGAGAGAGAGAGCAATAATTGAGTATGAAAACAACTACCAATTGAGTAAAGTAGATTTAATGAATCAAGTAAAGTAAAAACTTTAATCAAAGTAGGTGGTCGTGACAAACGTGGGAAGTGGAAACAGAGGCCCATTAGTCAACAAGAAGGAAGACCAAGACTTTACTAATTGTCATTTTAATCTTAGTTTTAAAGCGCTTCATGCATCATCATCATCATGCTTTCGAGAGAAGGACTTAAATTTACCATCATACACCTGATCAATCAAGTCTCAAGTTTAAAAAAGAAAAAGAAAATTGTTTGCTCTGTTTTTAGATTCTTATAAGATGAAGTTTTTGTTTCTTGATTTCACAGTTTAGTTTTTAGGTGAATGTCGAACCAAATACGAAGACGATATCAGTGAACACAGCAGAAACAATATGATGAGAATATTGACAGATTTCTTGGTTAATTTGATTCTGAAATACTGGTTTTCAATATTTATCTTATGCTTGTATCCACATTATATATTATTCCCTTTGAGTAAGTTTGTTATAATCATGTAAACTATCACTAGAATTCTTATTTTTTTAATATTATGGTACAGTCAAAGAAAGCATCCCAACAAAGAAAATTTTATACATAGAATAATAGAAATTTATCAAAAAGATTCATGAAAAAAGGGAAAAGTATCATAGTGCTGCCTTTTCGGTAGGCCATGTGTCGAGTTACAAATATACATGCTACAAGGAGAATGCCATGGGTCAAGAATGGAGAGGTCGTGGTGTTATGATGTGGTCAATATTTGTATATGTGGTGGATGGTATACGTTTTTGTAGGAATTTAGAAACACAGTTGGTGGACAAGGAGTGCTCTCTTGAGCTCTGTTGTGGCCTCCTGGGTTTTGGATCACTTTTGAGCTCTGTTTTAACTGCTTGTATAGAATGACCCTGTTGTTTGATTTTCCCTGTATTTCTTGATTATCAGATAATTTATATTCTGGCACAACCTTCTTGTGCTTTCAGAGGCACTCAAGTCTTTTAATCTAAAGCTTCAAATTCCTCTTCTTCATCTTTTTAAGGTGGAGTTTTATGAGTTACAAATACATCCTAATACAAATTCTTTAAATCAAATCTCACTTCTCGCATGTATGGCTTCGTAAATAATTTTTTAGAACTTGCTTTAAGGAAACAGATCTCTGCTTTGTGAGAGTAATGGCTTAATCTGAGAGTAAGAGAGCAAAGTATTGAAGGAGCAGATTGAGTGTTTGTTTATATTTTTTGTGAACAATAATAAGAAAAAAAGATTGATAAAAGTGTTGGAGGGTAATAGTATTAGTAGATTGATAGAGTCTTTCTTTATTTAATTTTTTTTTTTTTTTTAAAATATAAAGACAAAAATGCCTCGTAGGAATGGATTTTGGAGGCTTCAAGGGTCAAGTAACAAATATTTGTTTAATAAGCGGCTCAACTTTACAGTTGTGCATGTAATGAGAAAGCGAGAAATGAACTTGGAGAACGTGCAATTACCAAACGCATCAATAATAGTGAGAAGACCTGTCCCCTAAAGCATAAACAAATTCAACTAAACTTTGATTATTATAATACCAAGCAAGCGTACATTAAGGATCTAACACACAAAGACGACCTCAATGTTCTTCACACCAAGTCAGCACTCAACAGCTATCTTTTAAAATGGGAATCTAGAACATGTGTTTGGGCCTTGAGGATGTTTTGTTTGCTAAAGCAGGCCCATTTCATTTCGGCCCTTTTCATTATCCCTTGCTCTCTCTCGCAGCTCCTTTTGGT